AAAGGACTGGCTAGAAGAATCCAGGAATGTAACTGCATTGCCTTTAGCTACAGGCAATCCAAAGATATAATCTTTTATGGTTGCCAGTGACTCCATATTTTGTAATTCTTCAACTATCCCAGCATATTACTTGCAGAAAGCAATGCGGACATAGATATTGAATTCCATCTTTTCTGTCAGGCAGTGACACAAACAAGCAAAACTTCAGGCGTGAATTATGACTCTTAAAAATATAAAAGCAGTTCAAGGACTCCTAAAAAAATGCAAAAGCTATATTTTTAATAACATCTGCCAGGCAAGCATAAAAGGTGAACTGAGTTGTATTTGTTAACTTCCATGATGAATAATAAATTGTCAGTGCAGAGGGTAATCACCTGTGAATTAAAATAATGCTGACATGGAATAATCAATACTTACTTAGAAGATGAATAAAATTGTGAAAGACAGGAATGTTTGTTTAAAATTTTGTTTTATGTTTCATTTCATTTCTTTGGTGAAGTGAGGATGACCAAAAATATTACTTTGAATAATTGCTTCCACTAAGACATATGGAAATATCAGAGTCTTCATTTTAAGTGAAAAGGTGGCCTGTTATCTCACATAAGTTTAAAATAATTATTTCCATTAAAAATGAAAAATAATAATGTAATAAGTTGAGTCATGGGAATGGGCAGATTTGGACAGCATTGGCAAAATCCCCCAAATTGTTTCCATTTAGTTATTCTGGTGTGTGATTAATTTTTCTCTTTTAGCCGTTGTTAAAAAAATACTCCTAGGAAAAATAGTTTATAAAACTAATCCACAAAATGACCTACATAGTCATTATTCCTCTTGAAATCAGAACTTCTGAGAATACTCTACACGTTGAAACAGACAGCAGGAAAAAAAAAAAATTCCTAGCAACACACAGGGCATTTGTGTTTCTTTTAGAAGACAAACAAGGAACCTTGCAGATATTGTACCTACCCTCCCACTGAAATGTTCGTGATTTCATTTCAGATGACATGAAGATAAACGGCTGTGTAAGGAATGTAGCAGAATCCCAAGCCATTATATTGTAATTCCTACACAATTCATTAAAGTGATGTTGCTCAGCCTGGCTTGTTCCAACTCTTCTTTCCTGGGTTAGGGGCTGTTAAATACGTATATGCTGGATTTCCCACTTAAAAACATTAAAGGACACCACTAGATACACAATAGTCAAACCTTTGATCTGCAGAATCAATCTAAATTAATTATAATTTCTGTGAGAGTGGTAACGTGCATGCTTGTTTAGCTCAAAATTTTACCTTCAGTCCTTAATATAGTACCTAATACACAGAACAAAGTTGCAAAATAATTATGAGTGGGTAGGTAGAGAGAAGGTAGAAAGGAAAGCTAGTGGAAAGTTTTATTGTTTCTCCTACGATAGATAATTACTATGGAAGCACTTTATCCCATTATCTCTGACACTTTTGTGCAGCAGAAATGGTGAGCACAAAAGGTAGAAAATATTTTAAAGCATTTAATTGTACTTTTTTATAGAGCTGCACTGCCCACTTACCCGTAAGAATCAAAAGAAGGCAGCAGGTCAGAAAGTGGAATAAGCAATTAATTCCACAATATCTCTGAGTAAAGATTTTGGTCAGATATTGTCACATTCATATTTTTGCAAAACTCGTGAAAACAATTTTGAAACAAGTACCATATGTGGTACCATTTTAAATTCTAAACTGAACTGAGCACTTGGGCAGAGCTAAAATATTCAGAGCTCCAGATAGACAAAGGGAGGGTCAGCTTAGCAAGTGCTCATAGAAGCACATTGCGTTCAGGTTCAAGTACAGTGGTGGCGTGGAATTCTGAAATGTGTAGGCCAAGTCACCACTTCTTTTTGGTTCCCAAAGGGGCTGCATAGGGAGTATAAGTCAAAATAAAACCCAAGAAGAGAAGCAGCTGCTGATAGCATGCTTTTATAACACTAATAGGTATTTTTAAATACAGATGAAAACTGGAAATGAACAAACAAAACCTCACAGTAGACATTCAAAATTAAGTTATATAAATGTGTGTGTGTGTGTACTATATCACCTGTTTCTAATAGGTGAGCCTTGCCCGATTTTATTCTCAGATCCATAAACAATATTCCCACAGTATGCCTTTAAACTTTAAATGTATTTTGTAACATATATTGAAGCATAGAAATTTTGCATATTTATGGGCCTTTTAGTATTGAGGCTGGCAACCCATTTCTGGGTGGTGAAATTTAAATTTCAAAAATAAGAAGTCAAAAAATGTTAATGTAATTACAAGATAATATTAAGAATATGAAAATATCTCCTACTAATGTTACTTAGTTTTCCTTCCTAGCCTGGAATTTCTCTCTTTCCTCCCTTCCTTCCTTGGTCCCTCCCTCCCTTTTCTTTTTTTTTTTTTCTTTCTTTCTTTCCTCTCTCTCCCCCAGATAAATTGTATTCTCACCACAAACAATAAAGTTAAATATTTTATTAGCCCAAACACAATTAAAGATGTAGTACATTAAATGGTAGATCATGCTCTACTTTAGATATCTTCATTTAACAGACCACTTAATGGGTCGATTTAAAGGATTTTTACACCTTTAAGAAAACACATTAACTGTTACTTTCTCATAAAGTTTATATTCCAAAAAGTTTTTAATGCTTCCTATTTTGTCTCACAGTCCTTTCTAATTTCCGCTGGTATAAATCAATTTCAATTTATTAGCTTCATACAAAGGAGCTGCAGTAAGTTTTTAATAATAATTATCATTATCACTGATTAAAGTTATATTGTTCGGCCCAGATGGAGTCCTTTTCCTGTCAGCTAGAACGAGCTTGCATTATGTGATTATAATGTGTTTAGATCTAAATAAACAGATGGCAGAGTGACAGGATATTATACACTGGTGATGTCAGTAGCAGCCTCTCACAAACAGAATTGCTTTCAATAAACTGTGGTAGCAAGGATCCTCATACTAGATTACAAGAAGTGAGCTGAAGTATGTAACTTGGAAATAACAAGGCTCACTTCCAAGAGGAAACCACCAGGGTGGCTGGTGTGCACCCCAAGGAAGGGGTCTGTTGAACGTGTGCTGTGACTGTGAGAGCAGCTGTCTCTGCAGGCTTACTGGGGGCTCCCCTGATAGGGAAAACTTTAATAAATGAAAATTTAGGAAATGTCACAATATAAGATAACTTTTGCCCCTCAACCTACTTAGTTCAGAATCAACCAGTACCGGAGATACCTAGCCTCCCCACAAAAGTCTGTAAGTGAAAAGAACCATGGTTAGCTTTGTTAATCAAACAAGCTCCTTTCCCCCTGGCTGAGTAGGCAATTGAATGAATCTAAAAGGTAACTTCCCTAACAAAGAACTGCATCGGGGTTGGAATTCAGCTGCCCTGCTATCATGTTTTAGGTATCTGTGAAAATGCAATGTAACCAACTGAGTAAGATCAAAGCTATAAAACCCTATAAAAGTAAGAGTTGTACCCCAATGGAGGAGTCGATCAGGACACCGTCATTAGGTGTCATCGATCCCCATCGATGGAGTAAACTTTTTTATTTTGCTTCCATTCTGCTGCCTCTCTGTGTCACTTGCTGTCTCCTTCCATAACACCCCAAGTGAGCAGATCATCTAAATTCAGATTTAAGAACCGTGGGCCAAGTGGGACAGGGATTTGGCTCAGTGGTTCCGCCACCTGCCTTGCAAGCACAAGGGCCTGAGTTCGATCCCTGATACCCAAAACAAAACACAATGGGCCAAGATGGGAATATCTGGTATAAGTATTTGATACTTTTTACAGTATGATTAACTTTGCTAAACGCTAAATTCACAATTGACATAAAAATCACAGAGGTTTAATTACAAACTTGTTATAGAAAAAACTTTATTGTTGACTAGGTTTCCATATTCTTTCTACACAATAAGCCATATGCCATAATCTAGCCTGAAATTCAGAAACAAGCTTCAAAGGAAAGTATTTCACATAATTTCTAGCTAGTGTTTTTATTTTTGAGTCCTTGTAGGAATTTATGGGACAACTATGCCTGTCATGTCGAGGCCATTTTCCCTAATAGTCTATGTAGATAAAGATGCCAATTTCGAGCTGGGCATGGTGGCACATGGGTGCTATCCCAGCACTCTGAGAAGCAGAGGCAGGGGAATTGCAAATTAGAGCCCAGTCTAAGCAATTTAGCAAGAACTAGGCTCAAAACTAAGATGTAAAAAATGAGACAAGAAAGAAGTGCAATGTGAAGGCCCTCATTTTAATCCTCAATATCACACACAAAAAAAAAAAAAAAAAAAAAAAGGAAA